ATATGGATTGGGGAGTACTCTTAGGGGAGAAGCTGTATAAACATAGATCTCACCCGTCCAATGTTCTTCTTTCAAGGATCAAATTATCAACATTTTCTGCTTTTTAACAGTTTAAAAAACATTTTGTCCAGGATTTTTTAATAGTTAATTCTCTGCAGGAGTATTAATCCAATATAAGGTCTCCCATCATTAACATTATTGGTATGTGACAGAGATTCTAACTTTTGGTGTTTTGTGTGTGTTAAGAATATACTACACATTTCATCTTTCTGAATACTCATAGTATTATTGAATAATATCTCCTGAAGGGATCTTTGGGTGTTACCCAGCTACTCTGTCCTATCAGGCAATGACTGCCTAAAACTTAACATGATGAATTTTCTGCTGATTTCATCTCCAGTGAGGAAAGATTCCTTTTTTGGAAATTAGCTCTCTGTCTGGAGGCTCCCAACTTTATACTTGAATTTAAATCCACATGATGGTTTTACTTGACTTCCAGGGTCATGGAGTTGCACAGACAGAGGGATATACAGGCATTCCTAAAGCCCTGTCTCTCTCACCAGATCACGGGTGTGAAAATGATGTCTTTCCTAGTGCCCCGTGTGTGTGTTACCTGCAGTTTTCTTTTCTCTGCTTCATCCCTCAGCTCCCATAAGCTCATCATTTCTGGTCTGTTTTACTGAGATTCTCTCCCCTTGTTCTATCTCCTGGCATCTGCACACCTGCTACTGCCAACCTGACGCTGGAATCATTCTGATTACTGTGACCCATCATGTTATGAGTTGAATTCCCCCCTCCCCCAATTCATATGTTGAAGTCCTAACCTCTCAGAATGAGATTACTGGGAGACGGGCTTCATAGGAGGTAATCGGATTAAACAAAGTCTGTAGGGTGGGCCCTAATCCAAGATACCAGGCATTGTTACAAAAAGGGGAAACGGACACAAGAGGGAAGGTAAGAAGAAGAGACACAGGGAGGAGAGTCCACCTGCAGAACAAGTCAGCAGGCCTGGACACATCCTTCCCTCCCAGAGGAAACCAATCTTGGACGTCCAGCCTCCAGAACCATGGGATTATACATTTATTTTTGTTGCTAACGGCACCCAGTCTGTTGTACTTTGTGCCTTAGCAGCCCCAGCAAACTAACACACTAACCACTTAACAAATAATCTGACCCCAGTTTTTCTACTTGATTCTGACTCATGGCTTTACTTTGTCTCCTAAGATCCACTGACCCCTTAATAGGGTTAATGGGCAAAAAAGCAAAATATCCAAAAATTTATAACCTATTATTTTTTACTTAAGTTGAATGGCTTTTCTGATCCTTCTAGACCAGCGGTTCTCAACCTTGGCTGCACATTAGAATCACCTGGGAATCTTTTTAAAATCCTGATTTCTGGGCCTCATCCTCCGGAAATTCTGTTTCTTTGTTATGGGGTGGGACCACAACATTATTAACAAAGAAACAGAATTTCCAGAGGATGAGGCCCAGAAATCAGGATTTTAAAAAGATTCCCAGGTGATTCTAATGTGCAGCCAAAGTTGAGAACCATTGTTCTAGACCAAGCATGTCAAACTTAAAGGCTAACATGGGCCAAATAAGCAAGGTTGAAGTTTATGTGGGCTGTAAAAAGACAAAAGCTTCAATTTTCATAGAAATGTAGGTTTATTTCAATAGAGACATGCTGAATACAAAGGGCTGAAATAAATGAGTAATCGTTAACATAAAATAATAGAACATTTTAATAAAAATTAATGCTTTTTCTTGAACATAAACTTACCAGATACTGAATAACTTCACAAATTAATAATCGTAACACAAATAAACCTATATTTTTGTTCTCTCAAAGTGAAATATTTCCTGTTGCGTACACCAAACAAGTTAGTCCAAGACTAATGACATGGCCATCAGCTGCTAAAATATTTGCTGCTAGGATCAGTGGAGAGAAATGGTGCGCCTGCGCATAAGGCGCGTAAGGGAAATGAATGCTACACGATTATAGTCATCAGTCATTAGTGAATGTTGCAGTTCATTATTAATAACTAGAGGTCCGGTGCACAAAATTTTGTGCACTGGCGGGGGGGGGGGGGTG